GTGCTGTGACTGTTGCTGATGGGCTTGGCCATGGGCAGCATCTCGGAAGCCGTCTTGGAGCCAACTGGCCTTGCCTCTGTCAGGCACAGAAGCCACCCCTGTAGGCCCCCGCTACCAAACCTTGCCCTGCAAACCCAGTACAACCACAAGAGGATTTTCTGTGTACAATGCATGCGCTGTTCACAAATATTTTCCCTAGAAAATGAATTTTAAGTAGAAAAGAGGGCTCCTTTCATCAGCAACTAATGAGCAAGGTGTGCATGTTGGTGTATCTGTCCTTTTTTAGTGTCAGTAAAAATAAAACTCAGTAGGTAACACATTTGTCCTACAAAGGAATTGTGTTTTTAGTCTTCTGTTAACGAATACTGTATGGAGTGAGATCCAGGTTGTTCCGATCCTGCGGAACTGGCTGGGGCTTTGCTGACTCCCAGGGTAGCTGACAATTTGGCCCTCTAATGTGGCTAACGAACTACCTCAAAGAAAGACTAAATACAATATGGTAGGAGAACTTTATTAAAAATTTTGTACATCAGAGGATTAACTACTACATTTTAAACAAGAAATAAGATTTTACATATTACAAAAGATGTTACTAGTTTTTGAATTAGAAATAAATTTTATGAACACTGTACATGATACATCTGAGTTGTAAGAGCAGGAATAGGACCGAGTGCCTGAAAATGACATAACTTAATAAGCAAATGCACTCAATTCTTAGCATACAACATAGTATTCTGGAAAAACAGCGTGTTGTGTCGGAAAATGCTGTATCCTTCTAACCAGTAACTACCAACAGTGTTCTTGGGAGAAAGCATGGACACACGTGCCCAGCACTGTGATTTTTCCATTTGGAGTATTTCTTTGTTGGAGGAAGTTTCTCCCTATGGTCTAATTTTCTTGGAGAGCGCAGAATGTTATTCCACAGTATGGTTAGTGTTATTCCATGGTATGGTTAACACAATCTGCATATAAAAACCCAAGGCAAAACACTGCTCATAATGTAATTTTGCCTCCAACCCAGATTAGAAAAACCAACTGATAGCACATAAATGTCTACAGAAACAGATTTTTATTGACTGTTATCTTTTGTTACAAAGTAGTTAAAAAGAAATATATTGTAGCTAATCGGATAACCGTTACTTTGTGTATCATTCATACTATATATTTTTTTTCCTTTTGAGATTGTCAGTGTAGCTGCATTAGAATTTAAAATAAAAACAACACAGAAGATCACTTTTTAATGGCATGCCCTATTTGGCTAGGAAGGGTGTGTGAAGTTTTACAGGATAGTATGAACGTACAGTTCTCGTACAAAAGCATAGTATGTATCTAGTCCAAGAAAGGTAATAAAAAAGATTGAAATCTTTATACAGAAAGTGACAATGCCCATGTTATACTATGGAACACATCTACTAATTTTGAATTACGGGTGTAATGTGTGGATTAAACATATCAACTTACTAAACAAATCTTAAAAAAAGAGAGCAAAATCTATAAATAAAATAGTAAGTGCCTTCTTTAAGATAATATTCTTTGGCTGCTTTAAGTGCCAGTGAAGAGTTATTGAAAACCACTAAAATGCGTAAGGTCCCACTATTATTGTTAATCTTAACACCGAGCTTGTACGGTAGTTCAAACTGTTGACTGTTAACATCTCCAGATCCACGATGTGTTCTCTTGGTCCTGATAGTGATTTCACCAGTACAAGCATTGCACTTACGGCGCTTGTTTGCTGAAAGAACAACAACAACAAAGTTTAACTCAGTCAAACCTAAACTGATTCCCTAGTTGCGTCAAGAGAGTGCTTGTGCGTTACCACGCTGTAAAAACGCTCTGTCTCAGCAGAGAGGCACAATGCAGGTATTCTTTTAACGTTTTTAAAGGGCCGTGACTAATCCCACACCTGGCTTTGCTGCAGGGAAAACTTTACCTGACTAAGGCTCAGAGGAATAAACTGCACTGCACAATCTGTTCCTGGTTACGCTCACACTCCTAAAGGATGGGGAAAGTGCTAATCTATCCCAGGATGGTCTTTGGCTCTTATCTCCATCTATCAGCTTTTAAAAATATATGAAGAATAAGTTAAATAAGAGAGACCTAATGGCTTTCACAGTGATGTAGCTTGTTCAGTGGAGGGAAACGCTAAGCCTGTCTCACGGCTCATACTCCAGAAGTCGTGCTCCCCTTGTAAACACTGGGAATTTTAGCAACTGGTGTGCCTATTGCCATCCCCCATCTTGTACTGCTCTGAAGCCCTTTTCCCAGGCTAGGATCGCGCTGCTGGGGACACTAACAGGCCCAGTCTGTGGTGTGCTGCTAGTTTGTGAAACAGCTCTGTAATTTACAGATGATCATAAAAGGATAAACTCCATCTCTCCCTTCACCTACTATAAATATTTTCTCACCATGTCAAATGAGTAGGGTATACAGATGTATCCAACCCATCTGCTGTATCTGAGCCTCAGCTCAGAGCTTTACTAAAACAATAGGAAAGCTGCTAAGTAAGCCTTTGTTTACTGCAGTCCCTTGGCAGGAATAAACACCAGCTTCCTTATTTAAGGCCTGTGATTCCTTGCTGGGTGGCAATAGAACGCTGGAATTGCTAGTCTGAAGAAAGTCAGTCTGAAGGCTAAACCAGGGTCTAACCCAATCTGGAGTTGAGTGAACTTGTTCTTCTTAAAGCAAATAGCTGTTCGTATTTTGGGGGTGGGCATGGGGTTTTGACGGGTAAGAAATCCAGGGAGAAGCACTGTATTGTAGGTTATACTAAAACAAATCAGACACGGTTGAGTAGTTCTGTGTTCCCATCTTGGTGTAAATAGGCAATGTCATATCTTGGTACGCTTCTTGGAGGTACTATCAAAACCCACGAATCTTCAGATTGGACGAAAAATAAAAATGAAAACCTGCTGATTAATATATTTCTAATTTAAATTTTCTGTGCTGATTCTGTTTTACTGAGTGTAAAGCCACATATGAAGCAAAAAAGATTTTCCAGGAATTTGTAAATATTACAGGCGTCCAAGAAAATCAGATTTCTTCCAAAAAAAATCCTAAAAAGCAGATGTTATAGACGCTTTCATTCATGTGTGTCTACTTGAAGGCATTATACCAACAGGAAATACTGCTATCGTAAGTCATTCGAACTTTCATGGTTTTCTGAAATGGTTGCAGCACTTTGGGGGGAAAAAAAGGCTTAAGTATGTCTCAATATAAAACCTTTGGGTGTTGGCCTGAATTTATCACACTAGAAATCAATGCACCATCTCAGGCTATTATTCGTTCCTTTTTCACAAAAATGAGAAATTGATTAAGTTTTAATAATAAGAGTTCTATAATCCCCTCCTGAATACACATACATGGGGTGTTGGTACAGAGAGTGAAAAGCACAGAGGTATCTGTCTCATTTCTGTCTGACCTGGGTGTCCCAGGATGGCTAAATACTCATGATTGCTACCCCTGTGACATTCATTTGAAAGAAACTGCTTGTTCTCAGTTTAGAATTCTCAGGTAGAGAAGTAAAGGCTTTGTAAGGCTTGGAAAACAAGCATATTCAGTGAGGAACTATTAAAAAGTCAGTAAGGTTTGGGGTGCTGTGGTAGTCTCAGGAGAACATCTGCTGGATTTGTCAAACTGGCAAGGCGGTACTGCAGTACCCGGGCAGCACCAGTGGTCTTTACCCCCCGCTCAGGCTCCAACTCCCCCCAGTACTCACTCTCAGGTAAAATTCTCCGTTTTCATTTCCAGACTTGATCCGGAAGGTGTTAATAGTATTAGGGTAAATAGTGGTTGCCTGAATCTGGAAGATATCGGAGGGCACCGTTCTGTCTGAACGGATGCTCATGTATTTGTACACAACGGAGTAGGGCAGCTCTCGGCAAATGGCGTTTGATACGGGGCAGACGCAGCGGCTGAAAAACAAAAATGGATGAAACGGTGATAGTTGCAACCAAAGGGTACTTGCTTTCTGTTGTATTTCATCCTGTTGCCTGCTGAGGGTGGTCCTAAAATCAGACTTATTTTTCTCTTACTTCTCAGATGTAAGGACGTAGGGCTCTTGACAAGGATTTCTTGGGTAACAACGAAATCCTCCATGGTAATTCCAGCAAATTTCATCCTCTCTGCATTCATTAGTGGTCTCGCACTCATTTATATCTAGGAGGAAGGAAAAGGGACGTGTCAAAGCAGATGGAAATGGGCTTGCTACAAAACCAAACACATTGTCTTAAAAAACCACCCACAACTAAAAATAGGCACTCGCTTGGCTGTTGAAACCCAGCAGGTTTCTGTGCTCTTTACCTGCTTTTCTGGGGCCGGGCTGTAGAGGATTTATCTATGCTGAAATGGGAGAAATTTGTTTACTGAGTGTGAATTAAGTCTGAAGAGTTTAGTCGACTCAAACATATTAATCATATGTAATGCAACTATAAAAACACTGTTAGGTTTCTCCTTAGCAAAGAACGATTTGATAGCAGAAGATACATTGTAGACAGAGGAGGAAGGTTTTAAGGAAGAACTGTGATTTCCTGTCTTTTGCAGGTTCTCATTTTTAATTGCCTGAGTTTCATGGTCTAACTAAAATGCTTAGATAATGGCAGCATTTTAATTAAAATAGCTTGGAAAGGAATAATGAAGATTTGTTTATTGTGCAAAGTAGAGCTTCCTTTTTAGCCTGGGAAAATAACCCTGGATGGAGGTGGAGACTGCCAGACTTGCCCTGTATTAATGCTCTATTTTTCTGTCAGTGCCAGAACCACGCTACTCTCTGCCTAGATGGTCTCCAGAAAATAACACTGTCCCAGAAAGGGTGTTTATTGGTGTTTATTCAAATATAATCTTTTGGAAGGCACAAACAGATTTTTAGATGGTCAGACTAACTACCCCACAATGTTCAGTATCAGCTGCTGTTCTTCAGAAGGGAAAGAAATCTGAATGTTATAAAAACATCAATAAAACTGAGTTATTTCCTCATGCCTTCTGCCAACAATTAGCACACCTATTGATTTCTAAAAATAATGACCGCTAAATAGGTTTTGGATTACATAATCAGTGGTTCTTGCACTAAATATGTTGTTTTCAATATTCTGTAATAAGATGCAGAGACACTTTGCACCAGTGAGGAAAAAGCCATGAACTTTAAAATTCCAGCATTTGGAATTTTAAAGACCTGACCAGAATTTGGAATTTTTGGACTGGACCAGAACATTTATCTTCTAAACACAAATTATCTAACCCCCTCAAGTCCTCCATTTTTTTCTCCTGTTATCAGGCAAAACATATCTTTCACTTCTACTGTGGCTGGATTTAGGAACCTCTATGAAATGAAACGTGATATAACACCACGTTTGGTGTCTGTAAAAAACGGCCTGGTTTTTTTTCAGAGATACTTATCTCAGACTTAAGCTCGCTACCTGGACATCTAAGACAAGTTGTAGCTGAGGGTTGCAAGAGCTGAAATTTTGTCCTAGGGATCTGAGGAACTTAGAGTTTGAGCTGAAGGATCCAAATGTGAATTAATACAAGATATGTAATTAATCCAATACTTTATCAATGTATCTTTTGCTACCATAATGGCAATCCTGTCATGAAACAGAAACACTTGGATAGCGAGCATCCTTAGTCTTGCCTGAAATGGTGTTACTAACGCAGTAGCGAGGCTGCCAAGGTGAGGGCACTTACCTTGACATGTTCTGCCTCCTACTACCTGGTATCCTTCAGGGCAGACGCACGAGAATTTGCCTGGTTCATTGACACACTGATACTGGCAGATGTAACTCGAGGTTCTGCATTCATCAGTGTCTGCAGAGAGCAAAAGAGCTTAAAGTTAGTGCTTTGACATCTACCTTGTACACAACCAACCAGAGTAGCTAAATGCTGATTTCTAACAGGAGAAAAATGAATTCTGTCTGAAAAGAATGAGTACTCCTTAAAGCCTCAAAGCTACACCCAGAAGGGCTAGTTCTACTTGTGTTTTATCAATAATCTTTCGAAAATGAGAATTTTGGAGTTGAGGAAGTGAAAGCTAAATTAGACTTCAGAACAGGTTTGGGAAAATAACTCTTGAAAGAATTTATACTTTTAGTATTTCAAAAATGTGATTACTTTCACAAAGAACCCACAGATGTGAGATTAGTTAGTAAGGCAAAAATGCTGCCTTTGTATTTGTGCCCTACCCTAATGGAGTAGCTTTTTGGGAAAGAGGGTAAGGCCTATTTATTTTTCCTTCAAATAATATTCAGTGTACACAATCCTCCTCTGCTTTTTTTTTTTATCCTTGTGTAACCATCAGCCCCTTACGAGAGAAGCATAGTATGAAAAGGAATTTAACCGTATGTGCCATTAACTGGAAATTAAACCTATCAAAGCTAGGGAATGGCTTGGAAAACAGTGTAACTCCCTCCTGCTACCTCTGAGGCTTGACCCCAGATCTTGATTTTTGTCGGGGTGTCCTTGGAGGCTGCATGCTTGCTGCTCCCTGTTCTGTTCACTTGCAAGTAGGATTAGCTTAAGCAGCTTGGAGAGGGAGCATCTGTAATAGCTCTGCTGGCTTGTTTAGAAGGGCAGTGGTAAACCAAAAAGACCTCTTTGGCTCTAAGACTGGTAGAAAGGATATGGGCCTTAAGGGTGAGATCATCATGTGTCCAAAAGGAGATTAGAAGACCCCTGTGGAGACTCTGGCAGAGGAAATAAAGTGTTGATTGTATAATCATCAGGAGACATGCTGTTTGTATGCACAGGCTTGAAAGCACAATTGTCGCTTCCTTAAAATCAAAAATTTGAGGTTTTATTTTCAGAGAAGCCTAACAGCACACAAAATTGCACTTGTTTTTGGTTTGCATTCCTTTCCGATTCATTTACTGGTCATCAGCATTAGACCACACACAATTCAAGTGAGTTTGTGAAATAAGTATTCAGAAGCCTTATTCTTCCCAGCTGTGATCTGAACTGTAGTCATGTCTGTCCTGGTTTGCACTTACTAGTAGAGACACCCATCTCTGCATGGACCTGAATGCAGCTGCAGCTACTAAGGTGGGTATTAGCAACCACCTTTGCAACATAAAGACATGTTTTGGCTACAGACTGCACCCACAGTGTGGCCCCACTTGAATTATATCCCTTAGTTCACAGAAAGGCCTCTGGGAAAATAATTAAAAAACAAATAGCTCTTCTGAGGCAAAAAAATTGCTTACCTTCGCAGTTGATTCTGTCACTGCTTAACTCAAATCCTGGATTACACTGACAGATGAAAGAACCCAGTATATTGTAACACTGTTGTGCACATGGGTTGTTGGCATCACATTCGTTTATGTCTGAAAGGAAAAATTACAGATCTTTATTTTGTGTAGCTGGTAATTAGGCTGATTAAGTGGATTAGTCCTTAGTCTGGGCCTATTGCTTAGCAGAAGCTCAGTTGACTGTACCAATATAGATCGGCAGTCACTGGAACAATGTCAGATCTATGCTTTACATTCCATGGAGAAAAAGAGTATTTTTCCAGGAATGAGAGTTATTCTAATGTGTAGTGAATTCTTCCAAAAATGTTCAGTGTGGCTATTAAACTCCACATTCCAGGGTATTTTTTCAGGTATGAAATGCCAAGTCTCTATAAATAATTGATATAAGGGACACATACTGATAAGACCTCTCAGCATGCAGTGGTTAAGATTTATTTGAGCTATTTATTACTCTTAAAATTTGTGCTTTTAAATTCCATTACAATTATAACATGAGCCTTTGAGGCCAGTGGAGTTTTGCAACGCTCTCCGGCCTAGACCATATTGGGGGAAGATACGATTCTGGGCTAAGTTTTTTCCATGATGTGCCCATCCTAAGAACATTCGAGAAAACTGTGGTATGAGAAGAGAAGCAATTTTTAATGGGAAGTTTATATAACTGTAATCACCTCTGGAATCTAACACACTTGTTTCTCATAGGCTGTTGACTAACTGCTGCTCCTCTGTCATTCACTCTCTAGAATTTATTGCATTTTCCCTTTCATGCCTCCCCAGCATGTTTTCCATTCGTGTTTGTGTTTATCAGATATAACCATTAGTAGGAAGCCGCATTTGAAAAAATACTCGACATCACGGCTTTTGCAAACACTTATAAATGTCAGCACCACTCAGCCACTTACAGATAGAACTAAAAACTGACCAAGACGACTGAGATTAGGCACTCACAGAAGCGAAACCAACGAGGAGGTTATTAATTCACCTTACGATGAACCTCCTAGTCCTGAGAACGAATGGTAACAGGGGAAATGTGATTACAAAGTGTTTTCTTCCTCCTTTCAGTTAGTTTCTGGGAACTGTGCAAAGAATGTACATGATGACAATGCTACCAGAAGAAATAAATAAGCTAGCCAAAGCTGCGATTCTGTTTGTTTTCCTTCCAAGAAATATTGACCCACTTTCAATACATGCAAAAGTTGTAAGGCAAAGGCAATCGGTACAGCTGTCAAGTATCACTGCTGCCAGATGACTGCTGCAGATGTGAAAGTCTGTCTTGATGCAGCAACCATTTGTTATAAACGTTCTTCTGAAGATTTACTTCACCTTTCCTGGTGTGATATACCGCGTTAGGCTGGGAGGCCAGCAAGTTGGAGAAGGGGTGTTTTGGTGAAGCACCTAGCAAACTGGGAGCTGTCAGGGATTTGTGAGTGTGACTGAAAGAATACGCCTTGCATTTGAGCTGTGGAAAGGGTCAAGTAAGTAACGTGGTTATGTTGTGCCCATGTACCGTTTTCTGTCCTATCCTTTGGTGGAAGACATGGAATTTCTCTCTCTTCAGTGCTATGCAGTGTGCCAGGGTACTTGATAAGATATGGCAATGCTTGGAAGTAGTGGTAGAAGCTGAAAAACCCAGATTGACTTTATTATATACATATTTTTATATATATAATAGATTTATATATATAAATTATAGCCAGAAGACGTTCTGACCATCTCCATCACCAACCTCTTGGTTTTTTAATGGCCATTCTCGCTGCACTTCAGCAGACACAGTTACTTTTTTATTCTTGCTCTACCTAATTCTTCTTTAACAGAACTTAGGATTTCAACCTTAACAACAGTCTTAAAGTTTTACTGTGAGGCTTCCCTTAGTGTTTTACTTCTGAAGGCATGATCACATCTAAAGCATCACTCTTCCTTAGTGATCCTCGTTTTAATTTTTAACGTTATTTTCTGGACATTAAAATGTGGCATTTACAGATGCTTTCTTTCCTCACAATGTTTATCATGTGCCTGAGGATAATTACACTTAACTGCAGAGGTATAGTATTGCTTCTCCTGGTTTCCAGTTCCAGCCTTTGTGTTGCATGAGCTGGGAATAATACAATGAAAGCCAATGATAACACAAAGTGATCCACCAGAACTGAAAGAATAATTAAGATTAAAGATTAAATAATGAATATAAACCTCCAGGGTTCCAGTTGTTGTACTAGATGCTCCTCAGCAACCTGCTACACCAACAAAATAACAGGTTGACAATAAGGCTCCAGGTTTCCCTCTAACCCTCCTGTACTTCTTGGATCGCTTTCAGGAGAGCCTCTCAGTACAGCAACTGCTATGTCTTACAGGTTGGTATTTATTTCCCTGACACTGGGATGAAGATACTTAAATTTCAACTGTGTTGGTATTTGTCTCTATTCTGAGCGAGCTCCTGTGTAAGTACATGCAGAGAAGTTCTTACCTACACAGGTGTGGTTGTTGGATGCCAACTGGAAGCCGGCATTGCACTGGCAGTAATAGGACCCGGGAGTGTTCACGCATCGATGGTGGCAATAGGGAGGCAGGGTGCATTCATCGATGTCTGGGTTAGCAAAGAAGAGGGATTAGTTCAAATGGCATCACGGCAGTTCACTGCTGTTGTCTTGTCTCCAAAGAAACCGTGAACTTAATTGCACTTGATTAAAAGCAGAGAAAAAAAGCTTATGTGAGCTACATCCAGCATTTATCGATATTAATGGAAATACTATTTTACTTTAAGTAACTCTTGTAAAAGTCTGGTTTATGCCAGTTGTCTTCCAGCCACTGAGATCAATACACATGTCAACTTTGGTTTTTATTCAGTTCCACACTACTGCCGAGTCGCTTATTTTGTGTAGGTAAAAGCCAGAATGTTTTCTTCTGCTTTTCAACCAAGACTTCTCATGATCAGACCAACTGTGCTGACCAACACAGTGAACGTGGCTTGTAGGTCTTGTCTTCCCAACCATTCGCATGCAGCACTCTTAGCATGTACTAAACCTTTTTGGCTCCATTAGGAAGAGACCGAGTTCTCTGTGCAAGTACAGGAGAATGGCAAGGATAGAAGATTAACGGGTCTTAAAAGGAAATGGGAGGTTGTGCTTCTGCAGGGATCCCCCAGAAGCTCCCGTTCCCTGCCTCTCCTGGATACCTTCCTATGCAGCAGAACAGCACCTCTGGCTGCGTTCTCTGATGCCCAGGCAGCGATCAGACTGGCTGAAGCTGGCGCTGCCTCCGGCAGTATGAACTTTCCGCAGACTCTCCTTGCAGATTAGCCTTGGTTTTGAGGTGGAGCAGGCTGCCTTCCCAAGTTTCAGCATTCCTAATGTGCACTGGAGCAGGGTTTTCACCTGCAAACCATACAAAATGTGCCAACAGCCCTTTCTTTTACCTCTCTGCATTCTGGAGAAGACACTGCTGCTGTGTTTGTCTGGAAAACATATTTTTTTTAATGATGCCACAATACTGACCGTGCATGCATGTGCAGCCAGCCGTCTTTAGTCGTGGCCTGCTTGAGCTTGGTGAAGAAATCCATGCCGTGTTCTGTCCGTGTACACAATGTGAGATTTCAAAGGCTCAACGCTCAGACAAATAAGACCAGTTTTCACTGGAACAAAGAAAGGCACTTCCCATATCCATGCCAGATCTTGAGTTTCCTACCTCCAGCTGTTTCCACCATAGATGTGTTTAAAAAGAGGCCAAGACTTTTTTTTTTTTTTTATAATGAGGAAAGTGTTTGTTTTGATATCAAGTGAAAAAATAATCTTTAGATGTTAACCCTTTCTTTGTCAAATTTACAGTTGCTGTTTGGGGCTAAACTCAGCAGAAGAGCGTGTTGGATGGTTCTGAATGAAAAGGCTTATGCTGGGAAATTCCTGGCTTATCTGCACAGTAGTGATTCTTACTGTAACTCTTGCGTTGTAGAGAGAAATTCAGAGGCAGAAATGGAATAAATGAGGAGGTGCAGCAGATCTCTTCCATCCTTGACTTTTACAGGTCTGAGCCCTTCCAAACTGCTGTTCAGAGATCTGATTATACAGTGTAGACACGTGAGCAATGCTACGCTGCTTAGGGACTGCACTTATGCACATAAGTTTTCCAGGATCTCATGCAGTGGGAGTTTTTCTTGTGGGATTAGGGACATCAGCTCCACGCAGATCTAAGGGCTAAGTGTTATCTAATCAATTTGGCCAAACTTTCCATTTGAAGTAATGCTGGAAAACAATTAATTATATCTGCAGCCCTGTGTTTTAGAAAAGACTAATTTTGCAATATGTGAATAAGCAAATTTAAAAGAAAAATCTCAAAAAAAATTATAAGTGAATTTAGATTAAAATCAATCAATTGTTAGAAATGAGTACTTTTCTCCCTCTACCTTGAAGCCAAAAGAGTCTGGAAAAATTTCTTTCAAATTTGAGAAACATTTCCTCCCATATGGAGAACCTCTATCAAGATCTGGCCCCAAGAACATTTTCTGGCTAAGCTGTTACAAAATCCCCAAAGACAGGCTTTATTCTGAAATGCTGACAGTACTAAGAGTAGGGATGTACTTATAATTTAGGTCAGTGTGTAATATGTAACACAGGTGTTATTCTCGGTTTTGACCTAAATAGGAGAAGGGAAATTCCACTTTCCAGTTATCTTCACGTTTAGATTTAGATGCGTAAGTGTATTCCATTGTAGATATAAGGGTGTATCATTCTGCTGCTTTTGAGTGCTGAAATGTGTCCTGTGAGACCTTCAGATAGTAGTATGAGTCTTGACATTAAAAGTGCATAGCAGTAATATACTTTACTTGCACTAAAATATCTAGATAAACTGCAGATATTAAAAAAAAAAACCTGAAAAAACCAAACAGTCACCTATGAAAACTGTTCCTTTACCTACATTCCAAACTACTCATCCCACTGTTGCACAGAGAACTGAGAAAAATCTGATACGTCTGTGTTTACACCAACTTGACAGTTCAGGGCCTGATCCACATCTTCCGAGAAAGAGATAATTTTGGGGTTGTTTTCTACAGCCCTTGGCTCAAACCCTGAAGAGAGCCGTGCCCAGAAACTGAAGCTAGACTAGATGTGTACTGAAATCTCCCCAGTTGCCTTCCTGTAGCTCCTGTTAGGCAGTCACTACCAATAGCCTTAGTGAGGATTTTGGAAAGAGCTTAAATAGAAAAATGAAAAAAAATCCTTCAACACTTTCAAATGCAGGATCCCCAACACAGAGAAAAAGAGGAAAGCCTGAAGTTCTGTTGTTCATGTTCTGCTGAGGACAAAAAGCCCCCCAAAACCCAAATGCTTTTCTTTTAGGCTACATAAAACCAGGTTTGTATCTTATAAGAGGTGGTCTTGAATATCACCTCATGATGTACGTATTTGATTCTCTTATTTCATACTTGTTGTTATTACCTCTGACGGGCTGGAGTGCCTACAAAAGCAATTCATCCATTGAAATCATAATTAAAGAGGTGTTAAATAAAGGCCAAAGGAGAACTGAAGGAACAGGATAAAGGCACTTCTGCACGATGTCCCCAAATGTGGATGGAATAGGAAAGATGCAGTGTTTACACTGCACTTGGATTTAATTTAATGCTGTACTTGTATAGGTCCCAAGGGTGCTAATAGTTGATTTTGGCACAAAGAATAAAGCCTAGCGGTTTATAAGTTGCAAATATCGTACACCTGCGTTCAGAGTTTCCATCTCTCTCATACGCCCATAAAACTAGCGTACTGCGACGGGCTGTGCGAGGGGGCTCCGCAGAACAGGGAACAGGTCTGCGTGAAGGTAGCGCTCTGTCCTACAGCTCTGCTGGGAAGTCCCCCTGAGGTCACTGCAAAGACACGCTTTAGTTTCCCGCTGTAGCAGGCTTGTATCTGGGATGTTAGGCAATGCCCCAGTACAAACAATAAACACAACGGGAACTATTAGGAAAATTAATCTGGTGAAGTTCAGCTCCAACGGCTGATTATACTTAAAATAGTTCCATGCTTTAGTCATTAATTACTGTGAGAAGGTGATTATTGCATTGCATTTCAAAGTTATATAGCTACTTTACAGTACACATACCTATATACTTTATAATCAACTTAAAGTTTGCAACTCTAGATAATGAAAGAAAATAATGTAGTGCAGACCAACACTTACCAATGCACTGGTCCCCGCGTTTCTGATAGCCCGGAGGACACTGGCAGCTGAAGGACCCTCTTAAATTGACACATACTTGGTCAGCTCTACAATTATGGGCTCCAGTTGCACATTCATCTATATCTTTTATTAAAAAAGCAAACACAGTATTAGTAATAAAGTTTACTTCAACTATTTAGCCTGTTGAAATGCTTTATGCGTCTTCGGGCTACCTGTAAGTGAGGGCAGCGAAGTTCAAGTGTACTCCAAAGATGTCATCTCAATGCTTATTCCATTTACAGGACATGAAATGTTATTAGAATTCTAAGAGCTTTTAATTCTGATACACTGCATTTGGAAATATTTTCAGATATGGTTATTTTAAACAATCAGATGCTTTTATTTGTCAAATACCATTAATATTTTGTACTTATCCCTATAAAACTTTCTGTAAACTCCTTGCAACTTCATCATATTTTAATAATTTGACTTTTTGTTTTGTGTTTTTCCTATGCTGGTTGTTTGTTCCATGCTGAATTACTCTGGAAAATTTCAGCAAACATAGTTCAGCCCTTTCTCAAGAATGAGAGGAGTTTAGAAATATGTTGTTCTGCTGATACTAAAAAGACTCTGATCTCTTTTGTGTGGTTCCCATGCTCCATACTTTGGACAGGGACTTGGAATGTGGTGGCCTTCTCATCAGGAAGAGACCTGCCTCTTGTCATTTCCACAAAAATTCCCCTAATTTGGTCAATCTGTTAAAGTCTTTGGAAACAGTTTACGTCTGTTTGTATTTGAACAGTACAGCTGCAAATGCATATCATATACTAGACCGGTACTTTTCGTTAAAGTCTTTGGAAACAGTTTACGTCTGTTTGTATTTGAACAGTACAGCTGCAAATGCATATACTAGACCAGTACTTTTCAGTGTAATTTGGGCAGCTTTTAGGTCACACTAAATGCAGGTTTATACAAGTATAAAAACAACATTTTGATTTTGCGTATTCATCATAACTGCTGGAGATACTTAATTGTAATTAAACTGTACATGTGCTGACAAATAGGTTGCTTAAAATGGAATTAGAATTTGCTTTCTCATCTGAACATCCAAAATGTTGGAGAGCTTTTTATTGTAACCTGACACAGTACAGTGAAAAGACTTTTTAATTTTGGCATTGTGTACAATTTGGAGACTTGAGGCTGAATAAACAAATTCCTTAAAACTTATGATCTCCAGTTTACAAATCTCAGCTGACCTCTCTATTTGTATAGGCACTGGGGACGTTAGAACATCACCAGTGGCAGATTCTGGGTGGTGCTTTGGAAAAAATGATGGATTCTTTCTCATAGCAAATGAAAACAATTTTGACCACAAGATTCAATAAAAAATAAACCATCAACAGTTTGAATTAATTCTCAATGTTTGTCCTTTCCCCAAATGTCCAAATATTTTACATATAGCTTCTCTTTATCTGACAAGAAAAATAAAGTCCTTTCATGCTAGCCTGCTCTCTGCATTTCTGCACAGTACCGCTCCTGAAGTGGCTGTGCTGATGCAGGACTTGCTGAGCGCATTGTTCTGTACTGACAGCTGAAAAGCACATTCTCAGGTGTAAAGACTTTCGGGGACTGTAGCTGGCTGCCTCATACCAACCCGACACATCATTAAGGGCTGGAGCCAAAGCGCGCTGGAGTCCAACGCGAGTCTTTGCAGGGACTTCGCTGGGCTTTGCATGTACTCCTGGTTTCTACAAAAGTTGAAAATAAAATGACTACGCTACTCATACGGTTCAAATCCTTTTTGTTGGAGTGTGCTGGCAAAAAGAAAGCTTTTTTGATCTTTAGGGACTTCATAAAGGAGTGAACTTAACATGAGTTACCTTTTAAGATGGATTAGTTAGAATGCATTAAGTCCTTATGTTGCCATTTGCATCTGCGGTTTGATTTCCATTTAGCTTAATTTCCGTGGAATAATAAGCTACTCCAGCTAAAATGAAGGAAACTAGATTGATTTATGCACTCAGAGTCTTTGATTTTCTTCCCAATGGTAAGTTCAGTTTGAAAGAAAAGCCATTATTTGAGAGTAGAGTTCGACTGCTAGCAGCCTCCTCATTTAAAAATTGGAGGATTCAATGTTATGGCCACAAAGATCTGTGTTTATAAGAACCACCTTTTCTTGGGACTTCTTAAGCTGTTAATCGAGTTAGGATCCTGAACTGGGTTGCCTATTAGCTGTGACAGTGTGCTCTCTCTGCCCTCTACACGCCACGCCGATGCCTCTCTGTATGTGGCGAATTTCTGGTGGACTTGAGAGCTTTATCAGTGTTGTTACTCTGCACCATCACGGTACGTTTTGCTATTCTGACTGTCTCTGCTGGATAGCTTTCGTTGAGATGTGAGTCCCTAGGCAAGATAGGGAAACCTACATGGAATGAGGTTTTGATGGGAGTTCTCTGAAAACTCCAATCCCCTTGTTTGGGTGGGTTTTTTTTTTTTTGCGGACTTTACATCTTCAGTGAACTGCCTGAGGTGGGACGTGACGGTGGGCAGGAAAGCAGCCTCTAGCCTTCACTGAGGAAGGGCAGTTGGTTGCCATGCTTGGAGAGGTTCTGCTCACATCTATGCAAAGCCATCGGTAATGTTGAAGGAAGGCTGATGGCTTGAAGATTTAAGTGCTTCAAGGAAAACATTGTGGGAGGAGAACAGGCAGCTATGTAAGACAGGTTTCAGGGCTGGAACATTCAGTTCTGAAATGTCTAGTATTGCAATAATTAGAGATATGTCCACTGTTGTGATGGATACAAGGGTGAGGAAGTGAGTGGAAGATGTCAGTGCTGAAAGCGGTGCCAAATATGAATTGTATTGGTGTGATACCAGAAGCAGCCCAGCCCTTGTGGAGTACGAAAAGAAGCACTGGTGGATGTTTGCAATGTGATGCTGCTGCACAGATCTCCCCATCTATGCTTTTGGTAAGTGAGGCCCAAAGAGAAATCTCAAGCTTCTTGGCACTCAATGTGACCTGAATCATCCTCCATTAGAGAAACACTTTTTTTTAACAACTCTCCTGAGACTTACTGGAGCAATAGAGGAGTGGAAGTCATAGGAAGGAAGCAGCATCGACGTTGGAGGTCTCCTTGGGATGAGGCAGGTCGCCTCCATTTTTCTCTGAGGTGGCAGAGGTAGAGTTATCTGCCAATACGCATGCACGCACACTTCCCACTCCATATGAAATAATGTAACCTCACACTGGTGTTACCAGTATGGATCTGGGATTCCCCCTTATGTGTGTGGTCACGGTTCTTGAATGGGTAGACTGTCTACCCACAGTTGTTTAGGATGCGACTGAACTCTGACTAATCTGAAGCTTCCAGATTGTTTTCCCAGTTGTGTCCTCTCTGTGTGGAAATCAGTAACTCCCAGGTCTTCATTCCATTATTCTAAGAACTTCTTTTTCCAGTTTAAATGAGACTTTCCCAATCCATTAGGTTCCTGGCTTGCTTATCAGAACTTGCACAGTGCCCTCCGATTCTGTGACAGTGATCTGGAAGCTGCATCAATTCCCGCTTTTAGTCTATATCCAATGCAATGAAACGTGGGGGAGACGACAGTTATACAAAGCACATCATTTTCCTTAAATTCTACCGTATCATTCCATTTGATCTTTCTTGATAAAATCCCTGGGCTTAAGTGTGAACAGTAAGTGAGACTATTGGGAATCCATACTTTTGATTTCTGCCTACCGCAGACAGCCACGACCAGGCTGATTCGGTGTCTGTGAAGACACGGCAACGTGGGGCAAGGGGGCGATAGAAACTCCTGTGGGAGCATCAGAACTCACCAGCTTTATTCCTAAAAGCAAGATAAATCTGTCTGACCTTTCCTCCCTAGCACGAACATTCAATAATGCGTGTTACGTGCATGTGTATTTATAATAATTAAAAAAAATTAAAACAAGACACTCCACTGCACACACTTGTTTCTCTGGGGAGAGGGTGAGAGAACAAACATGTGACAGATGTTTGTCATGTTGCTTAATGCACTACTGGAAAGCACTCAAGATACCACAGTGATGAGTGCAGTATAAGAAACAGATCTAGAAAGAAAATAATGGGCTTTTACAAGCTCATTCTTGAGCATCTTTCCTCTGCATCCTCTTCTCCAAATTTAGTGTCATCACAATAAAGTTTGTTTCCAGAAGTGTTTCGGCAACAGAAGCTTCAGCTCGGGCATCCACCTTAAGCAGGGATCTTGTAAGCCATACCTGAAAACACCCCCGACCCGCTCCTTGCTGACTGTTTAAATTTCATTTCTAGTTGTTACGCAGGCATTTGTTCACCCAGGCAGGCAATTTAAATTACACTGGTAACCAGTAACGAAAATGACCTTCGCTTTTAACATCACCCTTTCTGTTTCTCTTTTGTATTTTCTCATCTCACCTAACATTGTGAAAGCTTGTGCTGTTCACTACAGATAAACAAGAGCTGTAAGTTTACATTAAATTGTTAAACAACCTGAATGGTATTTCACTATTGATGCATGCCACCTATGAATTACAGATTAATTCTTAAACTCACTATATCTGAGTCTGATCTCAGATATTGCTTAGACTTTTATTCCCAGACAGTTACTCTCTGGACAGTTATAGCCTGTGTAGTTGGAAAACTTCCTTTGCAACAGCCTGGGCATCTCTAACAATCTTTTTTTGCAGATTGGTCTTAACTTGAAAGTGTAGCCAGTTTGCCTTCGGTGTCCTGATCATTGCAATAACTGAACTAAATTGTGTAGTCTTTTAGTCGGCCACTCAAAAGCAAACTTGTTATGGGATTTAATTGTACTTTGAATAGCTAGAAAAATTTAACAAAATCTTAAAAATGTGTTTGGATTGAATAATTTCCATGTACTGTTTATAGGTGTTACGTCCAGAACACTACACTGCAAGAATGTGACAGTTTCAAAGTCAAGGATCTGGGGGAGATTGCAAAACACAGAACAGTCTGAATTTAGATCTGTTACGCATCATGGCATAGTCTTTAATTATATGAATCTTGTATTCTGCTTTTCCTGCAGGTTTCAGCTCAGTCAAACCTTACCATCCCCAGAACGTGTTAGGTAGTTACTCTATCAAGTTGCAACGATTACTGCTA